TTGTTGTTATTGTATGTTTAATGATGTTTTATTCAATTACTGTTGTAGCAGGGCCTCCTCCTCTTCCTTGGCCACCTCCCCCTCTTTTTTGGCCACCTCCTCTTCCTGCTCCTCTCAGTCCACCTCGTCCCTGCTTCCCTTTACCCCTATGTTGTCTCCTTTTCTTCTACCAAAAAGAGACTAAGTTATTATTGTTTACATTAATGCTCCATTGTTACTTTGAATTTCTTTCCCTTCTCCCTCTCTGTCTCCCCTCCCGTGCCTGTGTCTTCTCCCGTCTCCGTCTCTTCTGTCCCCTCTGTTTCGCTTCCTGCCCCTGTTTCTTCCCCATCATCACTATCCTTTATTTCTCCTCTCTCCCTCCTTCCTTCTTCTATTAGTTCCAGCTGTCCTAATTTACAATGTCATAAAGCCCTTGATTTACACTTAAATTATGTTTACTTTTAAGAGCTGGCCGAAACTGTTCCAAGTCTTTAAGTTAATTAGTGTGAAATTAAAGTACAAGTAATTCAACTATTATTAATTTAATTACGTAAGGGCCTTCCTTCTTTCTTCTTGCCTAATGTTTGTAAATAAAACTAACCAAAATACAATGCAAAGTTACTTTTTAATACAATGGTCCTTCTTACATCTGCTTAACAGCAAAAATTATTAGATTGCAATCATGAAAGAAAACTTACTTAGGCTGTTTGATTCTATTGATAAGAATGTCATTTTCAATGTCAATTTCACCTTTCAATCTTACCATATTCCTTTGTACTGTCTCCTCTCTCCTCTTTGTCTCTGTCCTTTTTGTCTCTTTCCCCTTTCTCCTCTGTCCTCTCTCCTCTGTCTCCTTTCTTCTCTTTGTCCGTGACTTCTTTTTCTGCTATAAATACAGTTATTTTTTGCTTTTTAATGTACAACACAAACATACAAACAACTTACAAAGTTCATCTACCAAAAAAGGCATTATAGTTATCACTATAGGGTTACACATTTCTAACGTACCATCAGATGGATGGACCTCAATGAGGACATCCTCTATTGGGGCAGCCATTACTTTTTGATTTTGAACTTACAGTTTCAGGTGTCCTATTTTATATCCTAAAGGTCACAGTTGACACTTGGTGTTCTTTGATTGGCTCTGAATAACGCAATGACTTCTATTTCGGTATTCTTCTCCCACACATTTTTATTATCAGTCCTCTCACCTGTAAAGGATAAACACATATCACCTGCATGATAACTTCGAGACTAACTTTCTCTCCGCCTTCGCTTTTGAGTTAGTAAGTTTTAAACAAAAATGAGTGTGTTTATTTTGACGTCTCACACACATACTAGTTCCACACCTTTGTTTTCATAAAAGGGGATCCATAGTTTGTATGTCTTAGCGTTACAAACGAGTTCCTCTCATTCAGGGGATCAATAGTTTGAATATTTGGCATTCAGACTAGTTCCACTCCTGTTTCAGGGGATCAATAGTCTGTTTGTTGTAGACAAACTAGTTCCACTCCTGTTTCAGGGGATCAATAGTCTGTTTGTTGTAGACAAACTAGTTCCTCTCCTGTTGAAAGGGGATCAATAGTATGTGCATTACACAAACTCATTTCTGTTATTCATTTACTGATGACATGGACAAGTTCTACTTTTATAACCAAATTGACCACAATTACCACATTTTCTTTGTGTTGCAGGTGGTTCTAGAGATTGCCTGGGAGAATGTGGTACTTCGATCTCCATTGCGAGGTCTGGTGGATTATCTACACCTGGAGTTGATTGTCGAGATGATCCTGTTGGTCGAGGTGCATCAGGAAGTGGGCAGGTTACATCTTTACATTCGTATCTGCAAAACATCTTATCTTTTCATAAAGGTACCATTTCCGTTCA